CACATCAGGTAATGTAGCCACACCCACCCACACACCCACCCACACACACACACACACACACACACACACACACACACACACACACACACACACACACACACACACACACACTATATAAAAAGTGTGTGTGTGTGTGAGAGCCTGTTCTTGACAAAATAGACACTCATTCACTTAATTTAAATAAAGTCAAACTATACCAATCATCGAGCATGCGGTGGCAGAACGGTTAGTTCGCTCGTCTCCGAAGCAGAAAATCCGGGTTCGAACCTCGGTTCAGAGACGGGTTTTATTTGCCCCCTCCTGCCCACCCACCAGTAATGAGTACCTGACTTCAAGTTGGGGAAGTAAAGGGGGCGTGGAAAGAAACTGGCCACCCTACCACAATATGCCAAAGGCCAAGGAAGTTGTCTCACTAACATTACTAACAAGGCAATCCCCAATGTTCGGATCGGATGCGGGAACAACTTTACTTTACTTTACTCCAGTTATCAAAATAACAAAACAGACAATCGGTCACCCTAGTTCTACTGCTCAGACAATCGATCGCCCCAGCTCTACCGCTCAGACAATCGATTGCCCCAGTTCTATCGCTCAGATAATCGATTGCCCCAGTTCTATCGCTCAGATAATCGATTGCCCCAGTTCTATCGCTCAGATAATCGATCGCCCCAGTTCTACCACTCACCCTCAAGTCGTCGTCCGTTGCGGTCACTTGGAAGACGCTGGTCCCCACGTTGCTGCCCTGGAGGACGGTCCTCTGGTACGGAGTGTTCTGGAACACCGGGGAGAACTGGTTCCTGATGACTGTGATGTTGACCTGGGCGGAAGGCGAGGCGATCAGAGGAGCGGGGACGCCCTGATCTACGGCTTGAACGGTCAGCTGGAGGTAAATAAAAAATCAATAAATTACACTTTTTTTAGTCATAGAAGGGCGCTTTGGTTTACAAAGGTAAACATACATATATACATACATAAATAAATAATTACAAATATGTACATAGATAAATACATGCATAATACATGCATAAATGTAGGTGGAGGAGATGTATGGTGAGAATTCTTTACTTTTCCTCTATTGTTTCTGTCTGCCTGTCTTACTTTTTCCTTGTGCCAAATGACTGCTAATGTTTTAATCTGCTTCTCTTTACTTAAGCTTACATAAATCATATTGGGTAGACGAGAGAGGAAGGGAGGAGGAAGGAAGGAGAAAGGGACGGAGGAAAGAAGGAGGAAGGGAGGAGGAGAGGAAGGAAGAGGAGGAAGGGAGGGGAGAGAGGGGAAAAGTAGGGTAGAAGGATAGAAGGATAGTGAAATAGAGAGACAAAAAAAGAGAAAGTAGGAGAGAGGGAGAGAGAGAAAGGAAGAGGGAGAGAGAGAGAGAGAGAGAGAGAGAAGAGATAGGGTGGAAGAGTGAGAGAGGATATCCATATAAAGGAGAAAAAGAGAGACAAAGAAAGGGAGAGCAGGAGAAAGAGTAGGGCAGGGAGAGAATGGGATATATTTCTGTAAAAAAGAATAAGAGACAAAGATGAGGATATAGAAAACGAAGAAGGGGGAGAAGGAAGAAGATATAGAGAAAAAGGGTTAGGAGGAAGATGGAAAAAGCTGGGGAAAGTAAGTTGTTTAAATGTTTACCTGGTACTGAATGTTGTTATCCTGGGTGAGGGGAGACCTCACAAACACCGCTCCCGTCACGCTGTTGATGAAGAAGTACTGGAGGGCTATCTGTGTGCCCACACCCTTGTAGCTGACCACGTTGTTCGGGGACTGAAACAGACAAAGTTAGACTGCTTTGAGAAATGACACAGGGTAAGAGATTGAGGGGAAGACCAAGCCACAAAGAAGTACTGGAGGGCGAGGTGTGCTCACACCCTTGTAGCTGATTACGTTTTTCGGGGACTGAAACATTTACACACAAAGTTAGAACACAATAAGAAATGACACAGGGGAAGAGATCAAGGGGAAGACCATGTGAAACCTGAAGAAAAGCCACAAAGAAGTACTGGAGGGAAAAATGTGTGCTTAGACCCTTCTGGAACACACAAAGTTAAAAAAATACGAGAAATGACAGAGGGTAAGAGATCAAGGGGAAGGCCTTGTGAAACCTATAGAACAGACACAAAGAAATACTTGAGGGAAAACTAGAATACACAAAGTTAGAACGTTTTGAGAAACAACACAGGGTGAAAGATACAAAGGAAGACCATGTGAAACCTGGAGAAGAATCACAAAGAACGATGTAGAGAAAAGAGGGAAGACATTGAATAATGTCAAGAGGCTAGCCGAAGATAGGGAGAAGTAGAAAGTGTTTGTTCGTAGCCTATATCCTGATCCAGGGAGAGAAAGGCAATGATGATAATGATGATGAAAATGATGATGATGATGATGATGATGATGATGATGGTGTAATAACTATGTTCCTGACGAAGCCCAAAGGGGCGAAACGGGGAACGACATACATAATTTTTGAAATTCTACCCAGTCTCCACCGTTTTTTGGTCATTTTCCTGTCTACAATGATGATGATGAGAAAAGAGGTTCCATCTTAAGATTCCATCAATCAACACATTACCAGAGAGACCCATGGACAACGCGTAGCAGATTCACTCGTACACAAAATGGATATTTTACTTAAGTATTTACCACCAAAAAACAGACAGAAAGAAATATAACGAAAAATTACCCTCCCTTTCCCCGCCCCTCCCTCCCAAAAAAATAAATTTTTTAAAATTCCATTTCTAATAAGATCTCTCTGAAAAAAAATTTCTTGCCAAACTAAAACATATTTATTACATCTTTTATATCACCTTCACTCAATTCAAAACCAAAATGAGAAAAACAAAACAATTTGTCATAACTCACCACAATATCAGCGTCCGTCGCCCGCACGGTCTCGATGGTGTCACCGAGTGCCTGGGTCTCCAGAATCACCACGTTATATACGGTACTTACAAACACAGGAGTGTTAAGATTCCGGTTGACCACAATGGTCACCGTGGCCAAGTCAGACAAGGGGGGAACACCACTGTCCAGAGCCTGCACCAAAATCTGGGGAACAAGAGGCCAGACAGAAGACGTAATTTTTTTTGTTTATTCGATGGCTATTCATGCGCATGTGTGTGTGTGTGGGGGGGGGGGGGGGGGTTCCAACACCATTTTTTTCTTTACACTGTGCCCTTTTCCTCTTTTTCTTTTTTGCAAACATTTCAAATTGGCAATTAGAGTCGCCCAGCGTCACCAATGTTATTTGGGTTCCAAAGTAGTAGTGCCCCTTTCAACATTTCATAAATGACTTAAATTTGTGGACTTCTTTAGAAATAGTGAAAATTGCTCATTCCAGCAGTGCTTGGAACAAACTCAGTGTACCCCCAAACTGCTTATCAGAGCTGGATACAGTGGGTATAACAGTGCATAGCTGCAGAAGGAAACTTTTGAGTAAAAGGTTAAAAAAGGCAGAACAAAATCTGATGATTGTTTCTCACGTAGTATAAATATAAACAGTATCATCTTGTTTGAGTACCCTTAAGTACTGTGGAATTGCATCACATCTCACTTGTGCCAAAAACCAAAGAAATATCAAAGCTGAGCTGCTATCCTGAAGTAAGACTATGTCACTTGTCCCCTCAGCCATGCTTGTCCAATTGTGGCTCGCTCCTTCTCACAGCGCTGCTGTGCCAAGGCAGAGCGACGTATCTGCACTTTTTATGATTTTAAGTTACGTCACGCTGCCACTGGAAATATGGGCATGTCCCTTCAGTTACGTCTGTTTGCCATAGTGAAATATCCTATTTGAAGTGCAGATACGTCTTCCTGTCTTTGACACAAGATGCAGAACGGAAATAGGCGTCCATCCAAACAAAGATACAAAAATTAATAATTTTTGCAGATACGTTGGTCTGTCTTTGCACGGCAGAACAGGTCTTCATCTTCCCCCGCCTCTGCTTCAAGATATAAATAATTACAAATAGTACAAATGGGAGAAAAAACTCACGTAGACACTGTCTGAGGCTGAAGCAAGAGACTGTCGTACTCGGACTATACCGGTGCCGGGCTCGATGTCGAAAAACACGGGAGCTGCCTCATCTCCGATGATCTCATAGCTCACTTGCTCAAATGTGCCCTGAGAAGAAAAATGCATGATTTTTTGAAAACATAAGCTTAACCTATAACACCAAGTACTCAGGCTATAAAGGAGGCGGTAGGCCACGCAAATGGTGGATTGAGGGAGTCAAGGACACCCTGAAAAATTATACCATCTCAACTAAAAGAGCTGTGGAGCTGGCCTACCATAGAAAACTGCATCTCCTCTCAACGCTTAACGCCAACAGAGGATGAAAACATAAAAAGGAAAAGTAAATAGCCCACTGACTACAGAATTTTCTACTATCCTGGATATAAATTCTTTCACAGGCAGGCACCAACTGGTGCTTGCATTTAGTTTTGTCAATTGATTTACATATTTGTTAGAAAAACATAACATATTACACGTAAATGTAAGGAAATTATAAGGGCAATTTGAAAAAAAATGGATATTTCTGGATCAGAATGGGATAATTATTTCTGTAAGTCTAGACTGGAACAGTTCCACAATCTATGTAGGCATATAGTCAGGCCAATGATACGGCTCATCATAGTCATAAGAAAAATGCTGAGCAAACCTGTAGATTCGTCTTAGTGATTGAAACAAACAGACAGAAAAAACAGACAGAAAGAAAAGATGCAGGACCTGCCAGTGGTGCCCTGCATACCAGACAGGTTGTAGCATTCTGGCAGTACCCCAATAGAAGGAACAAAGTAACCTTCCTCCACACCTCCCCCCCGCCCCCCAACTTTATCTCTGGAAGCCACTCTCAGCGGCTGGCAGTCACAACCCCAGTAACAGTGAGTCGCTGCAAATTGCTGGGGTACATTCCTTTACGACGACTTCGCCGTCAAATTACTTTTTGGCAATTGCCAAAATCAGGTCTCTTTTATTGGGATTTCATTCAGTAGACGAAGAACAATAAAAATAGGTTCACATGTTTTGATTTAACGACCAATTTAATTACGTTTTTGCCATTTTTAGATTTAGTACCAAAAAATGGCCCCCCATGTAGAGGGTTTACCCCTCTCGGACAAAAAGAGTTAATAAAGTAATAATGATAAAAAATATTTTTTTATAAACAAGAGTAAACTGACCTGTTGGTCGGCGTCCACTGCGGTGGCTCTGAAGATGGACGTGCCATCAGGAAAGTTCTCCTGGACGGTCCTTGCGTACGGCACAGACAGAAACTGAGGGGTGTTCAAGTTTCTCAAAACGTTGACGATCACGGTGGCAGTTTGCGCAGCGACGTTGGCTCCCTTGTCCTCCACTCTGATCAGTATCTGAAGAAAAGAACAGAAATTTTATATTTTAGCCGGCTATCCAGTGAGCAGAGCACTTTTTTAAAAAGAAATGCTAAGAACCTTTGGAGGGAAGACAGTGACCGTTATTACAAAAGCAGAAAACTGATTACTTTTGAAATTGTCCAATATGGCCACCCAGAGACCAGGAGAAAAGTTGTTGTGTTAGACAGGTGGACTTACATGATGCTCTGTAGCTGGGGATATTCAAACTGAAATTCTCCGAGGGTGGGCTCTGGAGGTAGAGTCTGGGAGAGGGGTGAGCCTAAGCAACATCTAGTTATTCCACTAAAAAAGTTTCAAGCAATTTTTTTTTACAAAAGTTCCAAAAAAAGCTGACCTCATCTTTGTAATTCTTATCAATAGCAGTTCAGAACATAAGTAACTCTTTATGACATAGGCTTTTCTTTCCTATTTCTTTCTGCCAGAGAACTGACAGCACTTCCTCTGACATAGCTCTGCCATTCTTTACGTGAGGGAAGGCGGCACTAACACTAAACTTTGATGTCAAATACAGGCCACAAAATATTGTTTTACCCCTATCCATATGTTGTGTTTTATTATCATATCCATACGATGTGGGGAACTCTGTGCAACCACTTTCCAAAGAGGAAATTTACTCGTTTATCCGATCCGTACACTTTACATGACAGTCTCTGAAAATAATTTTTTGAGAAATACTGAAAGTTTCAAAGAGATCTTCACACTAGATCTAGAAGTATTCTAAAATGTGAAGAATACAACCCCGGGGGTACAAAATGACCCCAGGGTGTACAGATAGGGTTAACGAACCTCAATTGGGCCTCGGGCTGTTAGTTTGAGACCCCTTCTCTAAAGAAAATCAGTCAAAAAGAATTTGTTGTAAAGAACAACTTACGGAGTAATTGACGTCAGTGTCCTGGAGCAGAGAAGACCTCAGCCTGATCTGACCGCTGTCCGAGTCGATGGTGAAGTAGTTCGGGCTCTTCCCTTCTCCCACGATACTGTAAGACACTTGGTTGTACGGAGCCTGAAATGGACGTGTTTTGATCACATTATAATTATCCAATACAAAGCGTACAATCAGATTTATACAAACAGTCAATCTGAAATTGACATATTTTGATCACATTACAATAATCCAATACAAAACCTACAATCAAATTTATACAAATAATAAATCTGAAATTTATGTATTTTGATCACATCACAATAATTCAATTCAAGATGTCGTACAATCAGATTAATTTGTTACATTTCTGCAGAATAAAACTGTAATATTCATGACATTTCTTGTTATCCTTGCAGTTTCGAAATCTGTGGTATAGGTTATATATTATGCTCAAGAAATATTTTGGCAAAATTCAAATTTTAAATGTTGAAACCAAAAAAAAAGCGAGAGACACAAAAAGTAGGTCCAGTTGTTAAAAAAATGAAACAGTTTTTTACTCTATCCTGACAAATTTTGCTTCTGGGCTTAACGATAATTGACAAACTGACAACTGACAACTGACAACTGACAACTGACAACTGACAACTGACAATATTCAGTCTTAAAGAATAATCTTTGAAAAGTATCCAACACTCAAAGGTAAAAGAGCGTCCCCTTCAGACTTGTCCAACGCTAAAATGAAACTACTAGAATGTTTTTGAATTTGAATTCAAATGTAGAACTGAGGTCCTTGGAAGACAGGGTGGTGCTCAATGCTTCCTCACCCCTCTTCATAAGGATTCATGTCAGTGTAGCCCGGCTGAATGTCTCCATCATCAGACAACTAGAATGTTGTAAAGTTACCTGGCGGTCCGATGAGTCGGGTCTGTCAGAGGGCTCCCGTCTCAGATAGGTGTTCCCTTGTCCCTGTCCTGTCTGCGACTCAATCTCTCAGTGAGTCTCTCAGACGATCTCCGCCTATGTTCCCGCAGCACCTTGTTACGTCATCCAAGGGCGTGCCCCTCCCTTAATTATCTTATCCCCACAGTAAAGATAAAAGTCATGTCCCTTGACATCACAGAATGTGAACCCAGTAAGTAAAACTTCCTTACCACTACATCGGTATCACTGGCAGATGCCACGTAGATAAGTCTGGAGAAGTCGATTGTTTCCAAAACGGTGACGGAGTCTGTAAACGACGGTGCAGACGGACTGACCCAGAATGGAGTTGCCAGATTTCTGTTGACATCCAACGTGACAACAGCATAAGACGAGCGCACAGGATTGCCTCCATCTGCTGCCTGCACGAAAACCTGAAAGTAGGACAGAAAAAAAAATCCGAACATTCAAATCTTACACTTTAATACTATCCTAAGAGATCGTCTTAAAACTTTTGACCTTAGATTAGATCTAGCCCTTGTCATTTCAATACATCTAGCTAAACTAGAAACAAATTGTAACAACAATAGACTATGTACAGCATCATTCCATACACATACATTTTTCTTTTCTCACTCTAAAACATCACATCAATGGTAGATTTATATGTACTATGTATATGATATTTGTATGTATCCATACGTCTGCAGTATTTATCATATTTTTTCCTACCGATAAAAAAAAGTTGAGTTCAAAACAAACGTATATAGCAAAAAAAAATATTTTAAAACAGACATTAAATTTTTCAATAAAATATCCAAAAGAGCTGATATCATATGTCACAAGTCTTTCTCCCTGAATAGAGACAGATCAGAACAGGGCAGGAATCATCCACTATTGAGGAGAACCAAGCAATAATCCTTTCAGTTGTGAGCCCAACAGTCTAACCATTAGACCAACTTTTATCCGCCGCTTATACCCTTGTGTCGAGGCAAGAAAGAGACGTCTCTCTGTCACCAGCCGGAGAGCTTGGGTCAGGGGGAAGCCGTGAGTTGTAGTGTTTCCCTGACTCCATCTATCCAGGTCTTTCTCGGTTGCCCTCTAGCCTTGTTGCCATCGAATTTTTTTATGTAGGCACGTTGTGCTAGATGGTGTGTTGGTAATCGCATGAGATGTCCGAACCATTTGATTCTTTGGCGTTGGATGTGATGCATGACATCATTTGTGCCCATCATTTCTTTGATAACTGAGTTTCTAATTTTGTCTTTAGACCACCAACGCCAAAGACACAATCAACAACAAACACCAAAAAAACACCAACTCACTCTGTATGAGGAAGAGACGTCGTTGAAGATGCTGGCCTGCAGGAAGATGACGCCAGTGTCTGGGTTGATGGAGAAGAAGTTCGAGCCCGTCTCATCAGTCACGATGCTGTAGGTCACTCTGTTGTAGGGTTCCTGGACAGAAATTATTTATCGTGCACTTAACTAGATGGGACATCATGGAAACAGCTAGAAAAGGATGCACTGTACAGGCTTCAGCTGGAGAAATGTTGTTGATGGCGCATGCTCCACTGGGAGTTAAAAAGATCAAGAGAGAGGGATTTAACTATTCAGAGGAAGATAGGACTAACGCTAACATTACTTAAACACAATCCCAGATCATAGCTCGTCACCATCATTATTTCTAAAATCATCATTGCTTTTAGATCAATGATTTCCATCTACATCCCTGAAATCTCTATCTGTAACTGTTAAATGTCATACTAAGTATGCATGTAATACACTATTTGACACTATCATAAGCACTTTTTTCTACTATTCAGATGGCGTCAATCTCATATAAATGGGCAAGTGATAAATACAAAGAAGAAAAAAACTATTCTCAAACATTGTGGAAGAAGCTAGAGCGTTAACTCTTAGTGCGCTAGTTCAGCTGGCTCCGGTCACCACTTGGTGCTTTTCAGTTATAGCAAAAATCTACCAAATCTTATCAAATTCACCTGATCTAAAATCAAACCTTACATAACTGATTGGATCATTCATTTCTTCTAAGTTCTCTGTTTATTTAAGTAAATAGGTTAAGTGTAAGCTAAAAGGAAGTTTGTCAGGTTGAAAATTTAGATGACAAAATTGGCAGCAAAGAAAAAGAAAAAATAGCCGTTTGTATCCTAAGAGTTAAATGATCATTTAAGTATGTGAACAAAAAGTTTGAGAAAATCCCACATTTTGCTAAACAGAAACAATTTGTTAAGAATATACCCTCTCAGCAAAAAGATTCTTCTACCACATCAGGTAATGTAGCCACACCCACCCACACATACACACACACACACACACACACACACACACACACACACACACACACACACACACACACACACACACACACACACACTATATAAAAAGTGTGTGTGTGTGTGAGAGCCTGTTCTTGACAAAATAGACACTCATTCACTTAATTTAAATAAAGTCAAACTATACCAATCATCGAGCATGCGGTGGCAGAACGGTTAGTTCGCTCGTCTCCGAAGCAGAAAATCCGGGTTCGAACCTCGGTTCAGAGACGGGTTTTATTTGCCCCCTCCTGCCCACCCACCAGTAATGAGTACCTGACTTCAAGTTGGGGAAGTAAAGGGGGCGTGGAAAGAAACTGGCCACCCTACCACAATATGCCAAAGGCCAAGGAAGTTGTCTCACTAACATTACTAACAAGGCAATCCCCAATGTTCGGATCGGATGCGGGAACAACTTTACTTTACTTTACTCCAGTTATCAAAATAACAAAACAGACAATCGGTCACCCTAGTTCTACTGCTCAGACAATCGATCGCCCCAGCTCTACCGCTCAGACAATCGATTGCCCCAGTTCTATCGCTCAGATAATCGATTGCCCCAGTTCTATCGCTCAGATAATCGATTGCCCCAGTTCTATCGCTCAGATAATCGATCGCCCCAGTTCTACCACTCACCCTCAAGTCGTCGTCCGTTGCGGTCACTTGGAAGACGCTGGTCCCCACGTTGCTGCCCTGGAGGACGGTCCTCTGGTACGGAGTGTTCTGGAACACCGGGGAGAACTGGTTCCTGATGACTGTGATGTTGACCTGGGCGGAAGGCGAGGCGATCAGAGGAGCGGGGACGCCCTGATCTACGGCTTGAACGGTCAGCTGGAGGTAAATAAAAAATCAATAAATTACACTTTTTTTAGTCATAGAAGGGCGCTTTGGTTTACAAAGGTAAACATACATATATACATACATAAATACATAATTATAAATATGTACATAGATAAATACATGCATAATACATGCATAAATGTAGGTGGAGGAGATGTATGGTGAGAATTCTTTACTTTTCCTCTATTGTTTCTGTCTGCCTGTCTTACTTTTTCCTTGTGCCAAATGACTGCTAATGTTTTAATCTGCTTCTCTTTACTTAAGCTTACATAAATCATATTGGGTAGACGAGAGATGAAGAGAGGGAGGGAAGGAGAGAGGGACAGAGAGAAAGAAAGAGGGGGAGGGAGGGGACAGAGAAAGGAAGAGAGGGGAGAGAGGGGAGAGAGGGGAAAAGTAGGGTAGAAGGATAGAAGGATAGTGAAATAGAGAGACAAAAAAAGAGAAAGTAGGAGAGAGGGAGAGAGAGAAAGGAAGAGGGAGAGAGAGAGAGAGAGAGAGAGAGAAGAGATAGGGTGGAAGAGTGAGAGAGGATATCCATATAAAGGAGAAAAAGAGAGACAAAGAAAGGGAGAGCAGGAGAAAGAGTAGGGCAGGGAGAGAATGGGATATATTCCAGTAAAAAAGAATAAGAGACAAAGATGAGGATATAGAAAACGAAGAAGGGGGAGAAGGAAGAAGATATAGAGAAAAAGGGTTAGGAGGAAGATGGAAAAAGCTGGGGAAAGTAAGTTGTTTAAATGTTTACCTGGTACTGAATGTTGTTATCCTGGGTGAGGGGAGACCTCACAGACACCGCGCCAGTGACGCTGTTGATGAAGAAGTACTGGAGGGCTATCTGTGTGCCCACACCCTTGTAGCTGACCACGTTGTTCGGGGACTGAAACAGACAAAGTTAGACTGCTTTGAGAAATGACACAGGGTAAGAGATTGAGGGGAAGACCAAGCCACAAAGAAGTACTGGAGGGCGAGGTGTGCTCACACCCTTGTAGCTGATTACGTTTTTCGGGGACTGAAACATTTACACACAAAGTTAGAACACAATAAGAAATGACACAGGGGAAGAGATCAAGGGGAAGACCATGTGAAACCTGAAGAAAAGCCACAAAGAAGTACTGGAGGGAAAAATGTGTGCTTAGACCCTTCTGGAACACACAAAGTTAAAAAACTACGAGAAATGACAGAGGGTAAGAGATCAAGGGGAAGGCCTTGTGAAACCTATAGAACAGACACAAAGAAATACTTGAGGGAAAACTAGAATACACAAAGTTAGAACGTTTTGAGAAACAACACAGGGTGAAAGATTCAAAGGAAGACCATGTGAAACCTGGAGAAGAATCACAAAGAACGATGTAGAGAAAAGAGGGAAGACATTGAATAATGTCAAGAGGCTAGCCGAAGATAGGGAGAAGTAGAAAGTGTTTGTTGGTGGCGTATACATTGATTCAGGTTGAGAAAAGCATTGATGATGATGATGATGATGATGATGATGATGATGATGATGATGATGATGATGGTGTAATAACTATGTTCCTGACGAAGCCCAAAGGGGCGAAACGGGGAACGACATACATAATTTTTGAAATTCTACCCAGTCTCCACCGTTTTTTGGTCATTTTCCTGTCTACAATGATGATGATGAGAAAAGAGGTTCCATCTTAAGATTCCATCAATCAACACATTACCAGAGAGACCCATGGACAACGCGTAGCAGATTCACTCCTACACAAAGTGTAACTTTTACTTAAGTATTTACCACCAAAAAAAAGAAAGAAAGAAATATAACGAAAAATTACCCTCCCTTTCCCCGCCCCTCCCTCCCAAAAAAATAAATTTTTTAAAATTCCATTTCTAATAAGATCTCTCTGAAAAAAAATTTCTTGCCAAACTAAAACATATTTATTACATCTTTTATATCACCTTCACTCAATTCAAAACCAAAATGAGAAAAACAAAACAATTTGTCATAACTCACCACAATATCAGCGTCCGTCGCCCGCACGGTCTCGATGGTGTCACCGAGTGCCTGGGTCTCCAGAATCACCACGTTATATACGGTACTTACAAACACAGGAGTGTTAAGATTCCGGTTGACCACAATGGTCACCGTGGCCAAGTCAGACAAGGGGGGAACACCACTGTCCAGAGCCTGCACCAAAATCTGGGGAACAAGAGGCCAGACAGAAGACGTAATTTTTTTTGTTTATTCGATGGCTATTCATGCGCATGTGTGTGTGTGTGGGGGGGGGGGGGGGGGGGGGGGGGGGGGGG